AGATAAGCATACAACATTCACGCGTGTTTAATTGTAGTCCATGTCAGAGAGTTGGTTTCTTTGTTGAAATCAATGTTGTCTCAATTTCAAAGGTTTATGGATGTCCCATAGCATTTGCGACCAGTGTATCAAACCTGTGATTTTTCCGTGTTGGGGCAGTTGTTTTATTGAATTTCAGTGGAGCGCAACCGAACGCGAAACTTTAATACAAGATGGGGCAAAAATATCTGCCAATTTTCATTTTTTAAAGAAATTGACAAGGTAAGTCCGTGTGAAGTTTTAAGTACATTCTTAACAAAGCATTCTATTGCAATTTTGTGCAAACTACTTTTTGAAAACGTCTTCAAGATGGCCTCATACAGTTGCAATATATTTTTGTAAGCATAAGCAAGTTTTTCTTTCATTGTTTTGAAAAACAAGCTTTCGGCCCATCAATGATTGTTGGTCTTGGTCGATGCTTGTAATCACAAGGTGAAAGGTTAAGCGAAGGTGCTGGCCCTACCATATCACTATACAAAAAAATCATATGCGTTGGAATGGGACCTGGCAGAATATCTATTGATATTTTACCGATTACCGTATGAGCTATTTTTTCAGTTTTGCGCGTAACGATCGGAAGCAATCGTAACTGCATTTCCCTCCTCCTCGACAAAGCAAGGATCTTGAACTCCAAAACTCACAAATATCACCACACTATTACTCACTCGCTATGGTGAAGTTTTTTATGTAGGGTTACTTCCTGCCCCGTACCAACAAGTTTGTTTATTGTGAAAAAAACAGATGAATGAAAGTTGACTTCGTCTCTGGTAATCAGAATTTAATTTTCAGTTAGATATTCATTTGTTACTTTGTTACTGAGAACACATTCCACAATGAATTAACGGCGTTTGTCTGACCAAACCATATTTATGCATCAGAGATTTTCATAAAATTTATGATATCTTGTTGTTGGAATCTCTAAAAATCGAAAGACGAAATGGCAGTTCATCAACATGAACTTTCTGATTCTGAGTGATTAAACTGCCTCGCAACTTTCCGAATATTTCTGTAGATTGTTGAACATGAACCAATGCAGGACAAAGTCCGGTTCAAAATCGGAAATTCCCAGTGCCGTCTGTAACAATCACCACGATGACGCGCTCGTTAGTAGATCCGCCTTTTCAGCATATAATGAATTTTCTGTCGCGTAAAATATTCAATCCATAGCAACTCCGAGATTCTAAAATGTCCTTATATATTAATTTAATTGCGTCAAACGTAACGCGCTGTTGCGACTTCTTACGTCAAAATAAAAATATTACTGCGGTAAAATACCACGGCGATCTGTGGACATAAAATATGAGATATGCTATTTAATTTTGATACGTATTTTTGCACTCTTGCGAACTGGTTATCGCCGTTAGTAAAATCTCGATATCGATCTGATATAAAATTACGTTTAGTACTTTATACTCCTTACTTCATACTATGAAAATAGATATAAAGTATACCAGTAAATCAAAAATACAAATTCATTTCCTCGAAAATCAGGCGAACAATCGCCTCGATTAGGCCACTTGTTAAAAGAGACAACTTTTTCAACGAAAAATGATTTTTCTCTTGTGTAAAGTAATCAATCTATGACCGATACGGGCATATTTAAAATGTCTTGCTTTTAATAATTCAATTGTTTAGCCACTCATAAACAACACGGCAATCCGCGGGCATATAAATAAAAATGTGTGGTAAACTGCCCGATAATATATTGTTCTGATAGGTATTTTTTCTATTTTGCGAATTCGACAAATTCGAGATGTACTTGTAACACTGACTGCGTTCAATGGCAATACTGCCATTCCGATTATTTTCAAAGAAAAAAGCTTTCGAAAAATCCGTTAATCTGCTGTAAAATCTCTCGGAGTAAAATTCATTTCAGTACAATAAAAATTGATCGAATATACCTCAGATTAATTATCTTATATATCATCACGAATCGGGGAAAAAATCGCGTTTCTAACCTTGTTCAGTGATGACATAAAAATTTTTGACGACAATTTTGAAGTTATGGATAAAAAGGCAATTCCCGCCCACAATTAACCGTGTTTCGATTTTAGTGACGGTAGGTTTCTAAACAGCGACCAAACATAATGTGTGCCGTAGACACGAAATTTTGCGATTTCCAATGCCTGGAAAAGCGTTTCTAGACTGACGCGGGACTCAACAAAACTTATATTGTTTACGGATTTATGTTCAGTATTTTATATTGCCGCTTTTCAATCAAAAAATTTAGATAGCGGATTTACTCCTTCATTTGTCTTTAGGACCTCGCCGCCGATGAACGTATAAAAACTCTCACCGAATTCACAATTCCGTGCAAGTACAAAAATAAAATAATTAACCAATCTTGTAAATGCGTTTACGGCCTAAATAACACGCTAATGAAAACAATCGGTGATTTTAGCAGAAGGCAATTGCAAGCGTTATTGTCGACTTTTTCAGTTTTCGCAATTCCGTCCGAGTACAAAAATAAAATAATTATCATTGTTACTGTGGCCCAAATTTGCGATTTAGAGAGAATAAATACCGATGTAAAGGCGTTTACGGCTTAAATAACACGCCACGCTGATGAAAACAAACGACGATTTTAGCAGAGAGCAATTGCACTGCACGCGTTATCGGCGACTTTTTCAGTTTTCAAAAAAATTCAAAATGGTTTCGACCCCGATACCCCTACCTCCCCCACTTCGTATATTCAGTGAAAATTGAACTTGCTGCTCGATTGTATTAGTTTACAGTTTTTTTCTGTGAAATGGAGAAGTAGAAAGTAAACACAAACAAAAGATGAACCTCCTAAAAACTGCATCAGCAACCATTTGAAAAATTTAGTTTCAGCCTAATCAATTTAATATACTAGATCCAATCCCACGTGCAAAAACAGAAACTGTCTTAAAAATAATATTAGATAGATATATAATGTTTAGAATATGATTCTTATATCAATATAGCGACTTTGTGGTCGTAAGGCAATGACTTAAGAAATTGCATGTATGCATATAAATAGAGAAAACTCGTACGAGCCAACACACATGCATACATGGCACGACTGGGCCTTTATTTTTGTCGCGGTATTCTAATTAGTTGCCCTCAATGTTGATCATAACGGATGCTATTACTAATAACATTTTAATTTAAACCGAAAAATAATTACTCATGGCATGCATATGAATTGTACTTCCCGACAATCAGTTTCAGATTATCCCCACCAAACACCCCTGATGAATTTTCTGGCAGGCTATTCGTTGCACGTAAGAAAGTCGCCATCAAATCAGAAACTGAGAAATAACTTTACAGTAGCACATCGACAGTTATATATAAGTCAACACATTCGGTATAATAGTCGAAGCGATAGATGATGGTAGAAGTTACGTTTGGACGAAAGCGTCAGTGAAATACGAAAATATATAATCGGTTAGAAATAGAATGAAGTAGAGTGGAATAATTTTATTATTTTATGAATATGTTTTTATATATTGCTCCCAGAGAAAATAAATATTATCTTCATATTTTCAACTGTGGAAAATTATATTTAACCATTTTGCAATGCTGTAATTGATTATTTTATTTGTGTATAAAACTGGATAGTAAGCATCTCAGAAAACAAAAATTCAAACAAAAGTGGCACAAATATGACTTTACAAATGGGAAATGGGGTCAACTTTAGTTGATTTGCTCGCAAGGCATTTTCAATATTTAGCAGAAAAATATTGTAGTAAAGCGATAGTTTGAGTACGATTTTCTCTTCTTGTGTTTGAATGAAGCAAACGCACATTTTTGTAACTAATCAGTAAGCATCAGTAATTTGTGGAACAGAATGTCACATACTGTCAGGGATGATTGAGGTATTCCAACATTTTTCCAACTTGAAAAATATTCAAAATATTCACACTCGGTTGTCCTAGTTTCTGGCCAAGGGTGGTTCACGGCTTGAACGCAGACCCGGATAATTATATCGAATTTGATTTGAATACCTGTAATTTGAATACTTTAGTTAGTTTCAGATAAAAACCTATTTATACCAAATGAATTTTTACTGTAATATGCTTCATTCACAATTGTTCTATTGTTTATTGAGTTATCATATTAACAAAAAAATAGCAAAACGATCCATATTTCATTTTCGTGCCCAATTAAAATAGTAATCGAATTGAAATATCGATGAAATACATAACGACAATGCGTAATGGAATCACGCCATTGCATCGATAATTATCTATCACCAACCGAAACTCAAAACTAAACATAAATATTGCGTATTACATTGGCAAACAGTTTCGTGTGACGTTTAGGGGGGAGTCAGATCACGTTTTACCCTAACGGGATGCAATACGTATATGGGAGTTTCTTTAATTTGAACACAACTAACTTCAACTGTTTAGATGAAACAAGTACTTACTTTCCCAATAAGACACTTTCATTGCTTGGAATGTAGATATGAATGAATTATATGTTTAAAATCAGTAATACTTTGCTCCGTGTGTTCGAAACGAAAACAATATGATTTCGAAGTACTAGCTCTTGCAGATCGTGCGGTCCACTTGACTCGGATGAACCTAAATTGAAAAGCTTATTCGACAGACAAATTTAAGAACTGAAAAAATTGTTCTGTAACTACAATAATTTAAATTAAATGTAGGTAAAGCGGCGTAGCTAAATATATACGGTACAATTCCACAGTGTCATACAAGCTGTAAAACTTCAGCCCAATTGAGAAATGGTATCTCCTCGATGGAGCCTCGCCTGTAGCTGCTGACCTAGAATGCGTAAATGTAATATAACCTAATTCAAAAACATTGTAAAAACTGCGTCATTTAGAGAGCTTACAATATACGGTTCAGCAAAGGGAACCCAGGGTGTCTTAAAAACTCTATCTCGGTCGAACTGTCACCCTAGAAAATGTCATATTTTCGTTTTTAGGACAACTAAAGTAAAATATAATAGGTATATATACTATAATTTTAAAAATGACAGAAGAAACATTAGTATTTGAAGATTACCTGGACGATGATTTATTTTCTGGAAATAGCAGTGGAATTGGAGAAGGGGGAGGAATTAACACCCCAACTAGCGCAACTACACCACCATGGGGAAGCATTATAGCCCGTATTATAATCTGTGTAATCGGAGTTTTCGGCAACATTCTTGTTATAATTTTCATTATTGCTTTAAAAGAATACAGAAGAGCGGCATCACATTGGTAAGATCATTTACATTGAAAGCTAGTAAATGAAACGAATCATTCGAGATATGCCAAGCGCTCCTATTGGGATATACTCGTGATGTATTTATTGCGGCTGATACCGACATTGCCAGATTAATCTAATGCTACTGATATTCTATTATAGCCTATAGCAGGGTGGTCCAAACCGCGGCCCGCGAACACATTCCGTGCGCCCGCAGAACAATTTTGATTTATTTTTAAATAATTCTGGGAATAGCCCCTTTTCCCATACCTATATCGAGATTGACATTGGTTAATAAAGTCACGGAATGTGGTATCTATTAACGTCAATATGGGAAAGACGTCATGTGATCGGTATAAGAAGAATGAATGAATTATCTTGTGACATTATCGTTTTATATAAACTTCGTACCTCAAGCTCGCCTTAACTCATTTGTAGAAACGCTTTGTGCCTTTATTTTACTTAAAACAATCTTCTATTTTCAATAGTTGGCCGCCAAGTCTTCCCATGCTACAAGTAATAAAAATTAGTCAAATATAACAATGCATCATACAATCAATGTAAAAAAGGTGACCGATGTAAACTGGGACGAAACGCATTTCTTTACCCACAACAACGTTAAACAGTGTCTGGTGTGTTTTCACGTAATATTTGTCAGGAAAGAATATAATTTTAGGCGATATTGCAAAACCAAATAAAAAAAGATACCTATAATACCACGGTATTCCTCGGGAAGCAATTTTTAAAATAGATAAAGGCTTTTTATATCTCCCCTAACAACTGATTGGAACGCTAAACTCTCATTTTTAAATTTATTTAAAGTGAGTAAACTTGCGATGTTTTGATCAATTTTGGGTTTTCTCCGACTGCGGCCCGTGAGAAATCCTCAAAAGTTTTTGCGGCTCTCCAACCTCGCAACCTTGGACCATTGGACCACCCTGCCCTATAGTGACTGATTGTCTTAAATGTCAATGAAGTATGGAGTAATACATAGTAATGTCGCCAATTATCGCCAAGTATTCATTTTTACCTTTTTCGCAAATTTCTGTCTATAGGTACGTCCTTCAGCTTGCAATCGCAGATTTAATATTTCTCCTTACTCTACCATTCAAAATATCTGAAGATATAAACGACGTATGGATATTCACAAGTGGAATGTGCAAAGCTAAAGAAACTGTATTATTTCTCAACTACTATGCTTCCATAATATTTCTCACGGTATGTACTACGTGTAGAATAATTTCTTTCATCAATTACACACTGCGTTGAGTGATAGACTAACTATGCACTATGCCGTCATCTCATGTTGCATACCTAAAGTTCGAGACCTCGTTTGTCTGGATTTTGGTATAATATGAACGATTAAATTTATTGACAGGTCATGAGTGTGGACAGATATGTAGCAGTGTGTCACACTTATCCACCTTTTATGAAGAAATTCAAATTCACAGCTTCTGTAACAGTAATAGTATGGATAGCTTCTCTCATAATGTGTATACCGATCATGATGTACAGCGATGTTACTGGATTGCATCCAACAAAATGTAGATGCGGGTATGTGAAACCTAATTACAATATGGTGATTCGTATACTTGAGAAAATAAATTCCTACAAAGATGAGAAATCTTTCCATGTTGAAAACATATGAAGCAAGTGCTCATTCAAAACTAAGTGGATTGTTGTTCTTTTTAGCACCCTATGGTCAGTTCAATACACAACTATTTTAAATGGAATAACGCTTTTCAGACGTCTAGGTGGTTTTAACAAACATCAACTACACTATGGTATTTTAGACCATGTACATGACATAGCGACAGTACTAAATATTAGAATTCACTTTTATAAAATTTGAGTCAAGTAGTCAACGAGGTGCTGACATTAGGATGAAATTGTAATTAGTACTCATAGGTAGAACCTTTTAGAAAATTGAATCATACTTTCATGTTGTCACAACAATGCTTTTATTTAATTAAACAGGTCATATTTGGGCTAACTTTACTTTATTTCTTGCAGATATGTATTTCCAAAACCGATGCAAACGCCTGAAGAATGGTGTGTTTCAAAAAATTTTGTCTCCGAAGAAGCTTTTGCTGACTGTATCACTTGGGCACCGGTTGGTGCAGAAATAAACAAATGCAAAGGCCTGGACACAAATTCAAACGTTGAAAGCAGCGAAATCGTTTCACATTTAAAAGAAGATCCAAATTCATGGTACAGCAATTTCGAAATTAACTTCCATTCTACGTTTGAAATATTCTCAATTTGTAAAAACTACATTTTTTCCCAAAAGGCATTTGTGGTACATTTAACCTGATTATATATATGTATAACCAACAACGACCCGAATTTCCATCTTCAATAATCATCGAAATGTAAAAATTTTGCAGGGGAACGCTATATGAAGATGATGATTTAATTTATGCTGATGATGATATTACAGCAGAAGATGACATAACTACGATCTCTTGTATGACTTTGGAAGGAATAGAATGGAGAGCATATGTCTACTTCAATTTTGTGATCATGTTTCTTGTACCATTCATTGTAAGTGTTATTGGAACCGTCTGTGATATTTACAGTTGTAAAATGTTTGAAATAAATAATAATTTGAAAAGAATTGAAACATAATCATGGCCCTTCAACATGACAATTATTTTTCTTTTCTAGGTCATATCTCTGTGTTATGGAATGATTGGATACCGGCTAAAACGCACTTTGATGGCAACATCATCCAGGGCAGACAGAGATAGAAAAAAGATTACAGCGATGTGCGCAGTCCTTGTCGCTATATTTGTGATATGTTGGCTTCCATTTCATGCCGTACATGTTGCAAAGATTCGTGGAATAAACGCGAGCATTGAGGTATGGTGGAAATTTCAAAATAATATCTGTTCGTTAATCTCAATTAGATGAGAATAATTGTTTAATTACAATTTATCAATATTTCAAATTTAATAAAGCCTTTGAGCAATATCATAACTTTTGAATTGACGGGCAGAAAGTCTAGTCGAATTACATCAGTGATTTACTTTTATATCTAATAGTTTTGTCATTCTTTGTTTAGAGCAACTTGTGCGCTGTCCTACCAGTGATAACGTCACTTCTTGCGTATTTGAATGCAGCCATAAACCCTTATTTGTACAACTTTATTGGAAGTTTCAAAAAGAGATTCAGGTACGTTTTTTGTTTCTGATAAACTCTGCATATACAGTATTAGGTATCTATGTGTGTTTGTTCTGTATATTGCCAGTATCGTATATAGAATATAACAGAGCATTGCAAAGATTACTGAATCTCTTGTGTTCTGGAGTACTGGACATTTCAATATAAATAAAATGAAAACTAATACATATTTTTTATTAAATCTGATAATTTAAATCCTTACATTTATTATAGACAACTTATCGGAAGAACAAGAACATCTATAACTTCTTCACTGAGTTCAAGACCGAAAGAAAACTCCCGGAAGCTATCGGCCAGATCGTCAGTGGCATGAATGCAGAAATAACTGATAATCAATTTAGTTTTAGAGAATAACAACGTATTTTGTTGTTTGTTTTGTCGTTTAGGCATAACTATCGATCAAATTTCGCTAATGATAGCTAAAATTGACATTGATAGTAAAATTCAACGAAGTAATAAAACCAATACCACGCAGAACACCCTCTAATTACGTACTCTCGTCGGTACTATATCAGATAGCTTTCATCTATAACTTCATTTGCAAGTTGGAATTTGTAACCGCACTTCTCAGAGCAGAAGAATGAGAAGCAGAATAACAAATTAGAAGAGAAAATCCTCAACAAAATCATACCTACGCGTGCCTGAATTTTTATCTTTTATTTTTTAAATTCAAACTCTTTCAATTTGCATTTTAAATATTTTATCATGTATACATTAATGTTATTTTAGTGTATGCATCGTGAAATTGTTGTTTATATATTGGATGAATGTAAAAGAGTTAAATAAATTTCAGAAACATGCAATTTTTTTCATATTTGTGAATGTATGGTGCATACATACAGTTTGGTGTCTGCATTTTCATCTTTGACCCTGATCATAAAACTTTACCTCCGATGAGTTCAAATCTCCGATTCCGACAATGACAAATTTGACAACAGGACTTTCACACTAGAGAACGAATATCAAACGTCAAATCCAGGGCCTCGATTAGTTTAGACGACTGCATCTTTAGGCAGGTGTTAGGCAATTCGATTTTAAGGTATAAACTCAATAAATCATTATTCATATCCAATGGCAACCTTCAGAGATGAAACCCATTCAGACAACTTACAAAATGCATAAGTTTTAATCAAAAAGCATTTATTCACTGTAAACTGACTCTTATTATAAAATGACTGAAACTAAATGAAGTTCTATATACAAAAAAAATAACTATTAAATTCCAATAAATACTACAATATTTAGACGAGGAAGGATGTGTAAAATGAAATTACTAGGATTGAGTGATTTAATTAAAACACACATACGCTATTAACTAAAACAAATGATAGAATACAACATCCTAACAGCTATGTCTAACAACAAAAGAATGTCACAATCCCAGTTGTGAGTGAACCCCACACAGCGATCACATAAAATCAATATTTAAATAGCAGTGAACATTTAAAAATTTACAATTTACTCATGGTGTTTTTATAAAATTAGATATATAATTTTACCAAAACCTATAAAATATATATTTTTTTAAAAAATTTACATGTACACCATAATATATATACATCACGTCACGACCACAAGTCAGAATTTTTCCAAGAATATGACATTGACGAGTCGCAACCGATAAATCGGAAGCCGAGGTATTTTTTCAATCCATAATTTATTTTCACATATTTACCCTCGGCCAAACAAGTTCGAACACATCCAGCCCAAAGATAAATAGTCGATACGTTTTTGGAATAGAAAAGCCGTGTCGTAATCAAATCGTGTTGGAATAATCTGAAACCATTTTGTGATGCAATATGACATGAATACAAAATAAAAACTCAAGTTTGTTAAAATTAAATTTAGACAGTGATATCAAAAATATTTTTACTAGTCAGATCAGAAGATCTCAAGGCTAAAAGCCATGTAAAAATATCCCATCACGTAAAAAGTCGAATTGATATTGCAAGTCGGAATAATATACAATATTTCATTAGATTCTCCGCATTTACGAAAAATATATTAACCAACTATTAATACTAATTATTCAACTAACTTCAACAATATTCTCATTATTTCCAAATCAAGTTCATTAGGTAAATTATTAAAAAAGTTCATATATATGTTTAAAGATCCATTTGTTTACAAAAGTTGACAATGCAATTTCCAAGGTCCCTCCCTCTAAATCCAAATTTAGTTTCCAATTTGGCAACAGAAAAAATAACGATTTTAAATGCAATTACTATGTTGGGTGCAATTTTGAATTCATATTATCATGGCTAAAAATAAAATAAAATGGCAATCATTTAATCCCAGAACAAATGCAATCCTAATTCCAAAATAATGAAACTAATGCTTAATATATATAATATGAAACTAACATGTGATAATAAGTGCTTTCTAAATAAATCAATTTGAAAATTTACATAAAGTTAATCAACGGTGAAGTCATCACCGCAAGTGGTTTCCACACCAACATACTCCAGTGTGCTAGTGGAAGAAAAAAGTATCGTTTGGCATTTGATGACTTCTTGTTGCTGCGTTTCTTCGATCCACTGCTGTCGGTTCCAGGTGATGGATCGGTTTGAGGCGATGGGTGAACTTTGCGCTGACGACGCGGCCATTTCCATTTGCTGGATTTAGAAGGCATTGAAGGTGCTGACTTCGAAAGTTTGGGAGTTGCGAACTGGGGATACTCAGGTTCAGTGATGGTATTCCCCAGCGTTGGACTGGAGGTTGTCATGAAAACATTTGGTACAATACCAGCATTCGTACTGCAAAAATATAGAAGAAAACCAGAATCTAATACACAGTCTCAACTCGTGATGCAAACTCAACGAGCCATGAGGGAACGAAAACCTTGTCGTGGCCATCGCAAAACTGATCAATAAATTTGATCAGGGAAAAATATATTTTGGTATACATCCCGAGGGTCAAATGTTGGGATTTTAGCAAGTTTTACTGGCGCTTTTGCAGGTAGTTATAAGTACACAAAAAAAGAATTAAGAAGTCTTACCCCTCTTTTTCGTTCATGTTGGTTTCAGTCCATTTTGGGTGCAAGGAAATGGAAGTCATTTTTGGCTGCGAGGGAATGGAAGCCGATTTTGGCTGCGAAGAAATGGAGGCCACTTTTGGCTGAGAGGGAATTTTGTTATCGCCATTTCCACATTCGTCAATTTCTAGAGAAAGATGTAAGGATTACATTACATGAGCAACAATTTCGCATAATGGATTTCAGAAATATGATGTTACCTCATTGTAAATAACCTAACAAGGTTTAGAAGCATTTGCGATGTTTTTACATACATTTTCAGTATGAAAAAATTTCCAAGCTTTATTGCATGACGGGGAAATGTGTAGTAAAGATGTAAACTTTACAAACCCGTGACGCCGAAGCTGCACGCACTCCTTGAACGCCTGGGTTCGAGTATAGTTCGATTTCTTCTTCCTACATCCACACTTCTCGAACGTCGTTGAGTTGTCTTGCGGGGTGGATCACTTGCCGAAATCCTATTTGGAAGAATCTCCCTCAGCAAGAAATTGGTCTTCGCTCCATCATTCGGTTTTCGCGTCCCCTCCACAAATCCCTTAAAACGATTTAGTGTTATAAGTTATAACTTATAATTGAAAATCGCTCGCGTGGTTAGTCACGCATATGCCGGGTCCTGTCTGCTCTTGAAAGACCTCTCTCTGGCTTGGTCCCAGCTAATCTAATTACCACTCTACATCGCCACAGTGTCTCGTCAACACATGAAGTGATAAGTTTTATCCATACTGTACCATTTTGAGTATATGCATTCAGGTAGACTAAGGACCTAATCAAAGCCAACACTTTATGCAGCTATCTGGTTTTCCGTGGCGTAAGTGTGAGTTCTCAGCGATTGGTAGAATAATAATACCAAAACGTTTTAAAAATATATATGAAGTATAAGCCTACATTACCTGCTGGTCAGCAGTAGTATTCAAACAGTCAAAATTGTTTTCCATCTTGAAAATCAACAGGACGTTGCAGGCAATGTCTGTAACGCTGTATTTTTCACCGAAATGAAAATGAAAGTTGATATAAAATCAGCTGATTGTCAACTGGTCGTCAATAGCAATGCTGTTATGACGTAACAATTTCAATCTTCTATTTGTACCGTTATAATTATGGATGTTCCACCGAGCATTGATTTCCTTGTTTACTTCCGTAAGAATGGCCAATGAACAAGAGGTCAGAGATGACGGAACAATGGAAATTGTAAAGTCACTCAGACACTTCCGTCGCTCAGACAGATATTCAAGTATGGGTGTAAACCAGCGCTCGTCAACTGGGTGTATACTGTATAGCAGAGTTTCCCACACTTTTTGGACGGGGGATCCCTGTTTGTGAATTCATTGTTTCACAAGCAGGCTATCCCATGTATTGTGCAGTATAGGTATTTTGAAATATTTTTACTGATATAGAGAAAAACTTGATAAAGCTTCACTATATTCACGATAATCAAGGTTCATTCCCGTTATGGACCTTTCCCCGACCTTTGACCCTCGGAAAATTCTCCCTATACTTTACCATTGCAAAATTGTCAAGGCTATTTCAAGAGTGCTTTTGCGAGTTGGCGTCTGTAAAATGGGGTATGTGTTTCAAACCATCATTATGATTCATCGCATACAACAATCTGTTTTTTAAAAGTACCGGTAAAGAATTTCAGGCTAGTCTATCACAGCCTAATTTTTATTACTGCAATTAAATTAAAACTCCTAGAAAGACTGAGTGATCATTGAATTATCTGATTTTTATTTAAGTTCCCAAAACACAACTGAAAACTAACGAATAGAGTTCAAAAATGCGAAAACGAGGTAATGTTTACAATCACGCTTGAAAATCTGTCTGAGTGAGAAAAGTGTCTGAGCGAATGCGAAAAGGGGGCATTGTTACGTCACTTTTTGCATCTTGCTGATTGGCCAATGTCACGAAGTAAACAAGGAAGTCCATGCTCGGAGAAAGGTCCATTGATTGTAATACCACCTTCTTCTACACTAGCCAAAGTTTTGATGACTATCTCTAAAAAAAATTAGAAGACTGAAGTGTCCCAACACACGGAAAGTGGTGGCTTATTCGGCCCAGGATTATCGCGTTACAGACAGTGAGAGGTGGACAATTAGATGTGGCATTAGGCACATGAGAAAATCCATATCCGACGTAAATAAGTAATTGAAAAGTGTACTTCACTTTCATTTCAATATTCGTCTTGACACCTGTGCTCCAAACGAGGCTTTGTATAAGCAGTCACTGATACGCAAGTAGTTATATTTTCAAGACGAAACTTTTTTTTTCAATCATACGGGTTGACGTAAGCTACCCATAATTCTATCGATTTTATAAATGTAATCCAAGACATTATAATTTCATATCTGCAACAATACTCAATATAAATAAATTCGTTTTCCTGGACTTAAGCTTGCTTCATCATCGCCCCCTACCAATTCTGAATTATGTTGTAAAAATCTAGTTTTTTGCAAAATTTCCCTTTGAGGCTATTCGATGTCGTAGTAGCGTTTCAAAAACATATACAGGGTGTCTCAAAACCAAGTATACACCTAATTTTGATTTGCTTTTTAGGTACCCATAATATAGCGTTCATCAGAAAACATAGCATAGATAAGTAGTAAAATTTAGGTATTGTTTGAATTTTTCATCAACCCATCAATGACAAGGATAATAACCCGAGAAATGAGGTGCAAAATTGCTGTTTGGCAAAAAACATATAAATCATCAAGGCAAACTCAGCGCCTCTTTAAAAGAGAGTTTGGAATTACCTCGGCTCTATATTTTTTTCTCAGAGCGTCCGTTTCTTGGTCTTCCTGATCTTTGTGCATCAACTACAAATCCAGTTTTCCTAAATTTATGATGAATTCCATAACATGTTCGTCGTGTGGTAAACCAAATAATTTCAAATTCTATGTTAAAGTGGCGCTTAGTTTTCTTATCGATCTATTCTACATGCTTTTTGCCAAACAGCAATTTGGCACCTTATTTCTTAGGCTAATCTCCTTGTCATTCTGTGGGTTGATGAAAAATGCAAACAATACCCAAATTTTACTACTTATCCATAATATGTTTTCTAAAAAATTGAACGCTCTATGATGAGTACCTGAAAAGCAAATCAAAATTTAAAAGTGTAAACTTTCTTTTGAGACACCTTGTATATATATATATATATATACACATTTCGTGTCCAATAATCAGTAGATGTAACTGGTCGTAAATTGAATCAGTGTGAATAAGATATCAAATAATAATTAAATTCAAGTCATATTATATATTATTTGTGAATGATAATTGGTTGCAAGCATGGAAAGTATGCTGATGGTCATTTGTTATGTATATTTATATAGGCGAAACATCACGCGGATGGGTAATGCTTCACGTAATCTGCTCATAGAGTCAGTAAATTAGAGATTATTAAATCATGAGTACTGACAAAAATTCAAAGAGATTGGAATTGCTCGCACGTACCAGATTAACTAAACTATTTCAAACTGAGGGCACACTAATTAAAATTGGCACTTTTCCGCGGGCCGCAGTTTGCACACCCCTGGTTTGGACGACTGCAACTTTGGGCAGGTATTAGGAAATTCAAGTTTAAGTCAACCTTCAGAGATGAAGCCCATTCACACAACTTACAAAATGCATAAGTTTTATTCAGAAAGCATTTATTCACTGTAAACTGACTATAATTATAAAAATGACTGAAACTAAAAATGTTCTGTATACAAAAAAAAACTAATAAATTTCATTAAATACTAGACTATTTAGGTGAAAATCCTAGGATTGAGTGGTTTACTTAAAACCCACATACGCTATTGACTAAAAACAAATGTTAAAATACATTCTCCTAATCACTAACTTAACAAATAAATGTCACAATCCCCGCTGTGGGTGGACTCTACACATCATTCACATAAAATCAATATTTAACATGCTGAAAATTCACAATATATATGTTTACCCAAAATCTTTAAAGTATATTTTTTATTCAAAAATTCATATGTACACCATAATACATATACATCACGATCACAAGTCAGAATTTTTCCACGAATATGACAGTGACTAGTCGCAACCGATGAATCGGAAGCCAAGGCATCAATTCAATCCAAAATTTTTTTTTCACTTAATTACCCTCGGCCAAACAAGTTTGAACACATCTAACTCGAAGATAAATAATCGATAAATTTTTAGAACAGAAAAGCCGTGTCGTAATCAAATCGTATTGAAATAATCTGAAACAATTTTGTGATGCAATATGACATGAATACAAAAACTTGAGTTTGTTAAAAGCAAATTTAGACAATGATATCAAGAATATTTTTACTAGTCAGATCAAAAGATCTCAAGGCTGAAAGCCATGTAAAAATATCCCATCACGTAAAAATTCAAAAAGATATTGCAAGTCGAAATATTACACAAAATTTCATTAGATTCTCCGTATTTATAAGTAATATATCTAAATAAATAGTTTGAAAAATACCAATTAGTCAACTAGCTTTAACAATGTTTTCAATTTTGTCAAATCAAGTTCATTAATTAAATTATATAAAAAATTTAAATTTTTAAATACCCATTCGTTAACAAAAGTTAGCTGTTGACAATGCTATTCCAAAGGTCAATTTATCCCATTTGAATCAGAATTTAGTTCCAAATTTGACAACATAAAAATAATGATTTTAAAGCAATTACTATGTTGGATCCCATTTCAAATACATATTATCTCGGCTAAAAATAAACAAATGGCAGTCATTCATTCTCAGAACAAATGCAATTCTAATTCTAAAATAATGAAACTATTGTATATAATATAAAACTAACATATGATAATAAGTGCTTTCTAAATAAATCAAAAGAAAAATTTACATAAAGTTCATCAACGGTGATGTCATCACCGCAAGTGGTTTCCACACCAACATACTCCAGTGTGCTAGTGGGAGAAAAAAGTATCGTTTGGCATTTGATGATTTCTTGTTGCTGCGTTTCTTCGATCGACTGCTGTCGGTTCTAGGTGATGGATCGGTTTGAGGTGATGGGTGAACTTTGCGTTGATGACGCAGCCATTTCCATTTGCTGGATTTAGAAGGCATTGAAGGTGCTGACTTCGAAAGTTTGGGAGTTGCGAACTGGGGATAATCAGGTTCGGTGACGTCATTCCCAAGCGTTGGACAGGAGGTTGTCATGAAAACATTTGGTACAATAACAGGATTCGTACTGCAAAAATGAAGCAGAAAACATATAGAAGCTAATACACCACAGTCTCTACCCATGATGAAAGCTAACGAGGCACGAGGGAACGAAAATCTGGAGGTGGCCATTGCAAAATTGATCTGCAAATTTGATCAAAAAACTACATTTTGGTATAGATCCCGAAGGACAAATGTCGGGATTTTAGCAAGTTTTACTGGCGCTTCCGCTGGTTGTTGGTTATGAGTACACAACAAAAAAATTAAGAACACTCACCTCTCTTTTTCGTTCATGCTGGTTTCAGCCACTTTTGGTTGCGAGGAAATGGAAGCCATTTTTGGCTGCGAGGAAATGGAATACGATTTTGGCTCCGAAGAAATGGGAGCCGATTTTGGCTGCGAAGAAATTTTGTTATCGCCATTTCTACGTAAGTCGATTTCTAGAGAAAGATATAAGATTAAATTACATGAGAAACAATTTTGTATGATGGATATCAGGAACATGATGTTGCCTTATTTTAAATAACCTAACAATGTTTGAAGCATTTGCGAAGTTTTTACAAAAATTTTACTGTGAAAAAATTTTCAAGCTTTATTGCTTGAAGGGGAAATGTGCTGTCGTAAAGAATAAACATTACAAACCTGTGACTCCAAAGCTGCACGCACTTCTTGAACGTCTGGATTCGAGTATAGTTTGGTTCCTTCTTCCTATATCCACACTTCTCGAACGTCGTTGAGTTGCTTTGCGAGCTGGATCACTTGCCGAAATATTATTTGGAACAATCTCGCTTATCAAGAAATTGGTTTTCGCTCCATCATCCGGTTCCCGCGTCCCCTCCACAAATACCTTTAAAGGATTTTTGTGTTAAAATTGGATTGTGTTAGTCACGCATATGCCGGGTACTGGATGTACAGGAAAGACCTCTGGCCTAGTCCCAGCTAATCTATTTATCACTTAACGTCGCCACAGTGTCTCGTCAAAACATGGATTGATAAATTTTATCCATACTGTAAAGTTTTGGATATCTGGATCCAAGTAGACTATGACCTTGTTCAAAGCCAACACTTCATGCAGTTATCTGGTTTTCCGTGGCGTAAGAGTGAATTCTCAGCGATTAGTTGAATAACAATACCAAAAAGTTCCAAAAATAGCCTATATATGAAATATAATCCTACATTACCTGCTGGCCAGCAGTTGTATTCAAACACTCTAAATTGTTTTCCATCTTGAAAATCAACAGGTCGTTGCAAGCAATGTCTGTAACGCTGTATTTTTCTCCGAAATAAAAATGCAAGTTGATATAAAACCAGTTGATTGTCAACTGGTCGTCAATAGCAATGCATTTATGATGTCACAATATCATTCTTCTATTTGTCCAGTTTGTTTCCCCGAGCATCGATTTCCTTGTTTATTTCACTTCTGTGCTTAGAGTCTCAGACTGGATATAAATGCTAACACGCCTAGACTGATATTCAAGTATGGTTGGAAACATTGGCTCGTTTCTGCGGTTTAGCGTGCTATTTGTCAATTTTTAGTTGTGTTTTAAAATTTAGTTACAAATCAAATGACTTAAATTGTCCTAATATCCTCCGAATATCCTTAGTTTAATTGCAATAATCAAAAATTGGTCCCAGAAAGCATAATAGACTAATACCACTGAACTGAAATTAGCCACCTGTATCTGTGCGCACATCATCAAATAATTTATTTAAATGAGATACTCCAGTCGTATGTGAACCAAGATGGCGAACACCGGAACGAAGTATATGTAGCAGGTACAAATACTACGGGAGTCACTTGGCTCGTCCCCGAACTCATAAGAGAACTAAAATATGGAAAATTGGAATAAAATTATGGATAATCTGTTTACCCCAGGAGAGTTGTGTCTATAAATCACGCGGCAGTGCAGTCCTCCCTGCGCTCCGTCCAGTTCAACATCTCATGTGTAGTCGTTGAAGGACTTCGCCTTTTGTCAAATTGATATGTTTCTGGCATCGACTTGCTTCTGGTTATTGTAAAAAATTAGCAGACTAAAGTGTCCCAACACACGAAAAGTGGTGGCCTAATCGCCCCAGGATTGGCGCCTTACAGACAGTGAGAGGTGGACAATTAGATGTGCTATTAGGTACATGAGAAAAATCCATATCCGACGTATGCCTATTTTATAACTCTTCATCACTTTACATAAAGGCTGGGTGGGTATGTGAATAAGTAAGTAAAAAGTGTACCTCACCTCTATTTCATTTTGTGTCTTTACACCTGTGCTCCGAACAAGGCTTCGTACAAGCTGTCACTGATACGCAGGTAGTTATTATATTTTCAGGACGAAAAATTGTTTTCAATGATACGAAGTATGGACAATTTGACGTGGGCTACCCATAACTCTATCGATTTTATAAAAGTAATACAAGACATTATATTTTCCTATCTGCAACCACCAATGGAAAAAAAAATTCTGGAGGTAAGCTTCATCATCACAGCTTACTAATTCTAAATCATGGTGTGAAAACTTAATTGTTGTAAAAAAAAATCCCTTTGAGGTTATTCGATGTCGTAGTAGCGTTTCAAAACTATATATATATATATATTTACACATTTCGTGTCCTAATCAGTAGATGTATCTGGTCGTAAACTGAATCAGTGTGAATAAGATATCAAATTATAATAAAATTCATACACAAGTCATATTATTTGTGAGTGATAATCGGTTGCAAGCATGAAAAGTATCCTGATGGTCATTTGTTATATATATATATATATATTTATTTAGGCGAAACATCACGCGGAAGGGTAATGCTCTACGTAATCCGCTCATAAAGCCAGTGAGTTAATGATTATTAAATCACGAGTATTGACAAATATCCAGCTATAGATGATGTTTACACTTGAAAGTACACAGGCACTCGACATAAACGAATATATGTTAGATTTTTCTGTGGCTTTTTTATTCTGTATGGCCACTAGCAGTTAGATATGAGTGGGCGCCTCTTTAGTAAACGTCGAAGGGAAGAATCGGCCCCATTATTTGACGAAGACGAATTTACTCGATCTTATTACGACATTGAAAAACAGCTGAATGAAAGCAACGATGCAAACAATACTGAAACAGGTCGGCCTGCAGAAGTTATAGGCATGACTTCACCATCCAACGATATGTCTTCAAGGGTAGAGGTTATTCCTCAAGACAATGATGCCAAACATAAGAAGGCACTGATAGGGTTATCGCTTACAGTTGTTATTCTCATCGTGTTATGCGTATGCCTGGTTTACGTTCTGTTCAGCTTGAAAAAAACTAACGAATATTTGAACCAATTCAATCAATGCGTCAGAAGAAATCAATCTGGAGACAGAGCATGTCAGACATGTGCAAGTAAGTTACTGAAATCTGTAATCGCTTGCTAGGGCGTTGAAGGATAACTAGTTTTGGTTATTTATAGGGTACTCCCGTAGTGTGTGTACCAGGTTAAGGTTAGGCTATAATTTTATTCCGAGATTTCCTATTTTAGTTCTATAACGAGTTCGGGGACTGTCTGTGTTATCCAATTGAATATACCCCATGCCCATAGGTTTACACACACATCCCCTTACACAACTTGATGTAATGTAGGCGAACCAAATTAGTTACCTCCATACTGGTACACACACTTCTGGAGCGCCATTTATTCTCTATCTTTTACGTGTATATTGTGATTTTAGTGCGTATTCTGCATGCATAATATTATATTTACCAGATTGTAAAATATGTTGAGTAGATTGGCTCATCGCACTGCACGTCGAGGCTTTGGAACTTTCTAGCTCAGTGGTTCCCAACCTTTTTCGATAAATTCTTACTGTCCATTTTGGACATCTTTATTCCTCCCTCACTAAGCATAAAATCTCTGTTCCCGTTATTTGTTTAATCTTAATGTGCCTGAAGCTAGTGCTATACACGAATCTCGCACTCTGGCTTTTGATCAGTTCATATTATAACCATTAATACGTATTACAATATTACAATAGTACTAAAAATGACTAAACACTGTTTGTTAAACTACACCAAATACAAAGTGATATTTCCTTCCCAAAACGTCTAATTTCCTCCATGGGGCGAATCCCTCCTCAAATGGGAAAAGTTGTTCCAGCTAGTGACCCTGCTGTAAAGGACTCGCTCTTACACACTAATTTGCGATTTTCTTACCTGATCGTTAGCGATTAGTTTTCAACCCCATGCCTTGGAACGAAATATTACTAATAATATAGCTGTCACCATCGTAATCTTTCATGCTCCTTGAGTTGAATACGAAATCTTGACCGCAATAGCTCGTGTTACTCGCCATTTGGGGGAATATTTTGTGATAACTCTATTTTAGCTAATATTTGTATTTCTTAAACCAACATGCAGACGATGTATATATATATTATTCAACAGGAAAATGCCTCACGCCATCCGACGACTGAACTGAACGAACTTATAGCAATATTTGTAAGAAACAGTCGATTAAATTATTAAATCTGTTCTGGACCCACCGAGTCACGACATGAGCAATTCAATTGTAACATACCAGATAAAAACTTTATTTTTCGAGTTTTGCTTTATGGCGGCATAAAAAACGTATGGTGTATGTGTAAATATATATGTTGTAAAAAACTAAAATTCATTATTTAAATCATCAATCAAAAATCTATAAACGTAAAAAAACAAATTGCATACCCTGAAAATAGTGGCTAGCTGTTCTGCATACAAGTACATTTTCTCAATTATACATGCAGCCTAAGGGTAGATTTATTTTAAACGTATTCTTCATTGTTGTAATTAAACTTCACAGCTTTCGCTGTTCAGCGATCTGCGCTCTGTTGGGGAAACCCCATTATAATCCCACGGGGATTGATTTTGGTATTTTACGTTTTCAACGATCTGCATTTTCACATGCAAACATGAGCTTGTTTATCAGCCAGCTTTTGTCATATCCAGCATTGTATCAGCGCAAGAATCGCATTAAATGGACTTTTCATATTCAGTACTGATTAAATTAGCAATACTTTGATGTTTTTTCGGAATTACCTCTATTGAAATTTGCTTTAAATTTGATTTTGAAGAAGGCGGGTCCTTTTGTGACGCGTCCTGTGAATCAAGATGATTTGTCCTAATATTTCTCAACTTTATAATCGTATAAATTATTGTTCCAATTAAAGTTAGTACAATTCCCAATATTTGAACAGGTTCCTGAGCTTCTTGTGATAATATAACAGCTCCTCCAAGAATCACGACGCAAGTTTTTAATTTCGAAAACACAGCATATGTGACGACTGATGTATGTCGTATGATATAAAACACTGTAATGTTTACTCCACAGGCCATCACCATCGATACGAATACGACTGCCTTAAAATGAAATTTTTGTTTAAAACGATTAATCTTTTTTCTAGTTTCTACTCGATATTAATTAAAAAATATGACGAGCATAATTATTACATTATTTGTGAGAGATAAGACAAAGTTATAATTGAGTGATACACAATTGCACCCACCATCTAAACAAGGGTGTACGAAATTCTTATTATTTTCAATGCCTGCCTGTTAGACACTTTCGTATGTTGCGCGATATCTCACGAAAGCGGGGTTGAATCTGCTCCAAATTTTGTACGTGCATTCATCATATCTCGGACCAGAAGCCTATTGATTTTGAATGAATTATGTCGTATAATTAGCAAGGTATTGGTTTTAGTCAGACGGAAGGATACACGCCGCTAGATCGATAAGTCGGCGGTCTCTCATCGCTATCTCGTTAATTCATCGTTGGTATTTCTGTGGGAATTTATGTTTCATAACACTGAGCTAATGCGAAAAAATATTTAAGTTTTTTCATTCAATCTGTTTAACTACTTACCACTGATTCATGCAACCCGCATAATATCCCATGTTCTTCCCAAGGTGGTTCAATAAATAAAACAACAGAATTTAAAAGCATTGAAGAAGTGGGAGCTTGATACATAAGTAATTGTAACGGGGTAACTTCTAGTTCTTCTTGCTTTTTCTCAATCCACTGTAAAAATCAGTATAAACATTATTGATATGTATATATATTTAAAGGGTTCTGAAAACCAACGTTAGGCAACGGATTCGCCACACAACAAGGCATAGCGATGATTTGAAGACGGGTCAATCAGGTCAAACTCGAATGATTTAAGGGTTTAGAGGTCGGTTAGCGTTGTTTTCTGGAATGGGAAGCGGTTGCCCGATCACTGGAAACTGTTACGGGTAGTTTTGGTGGTGAAGGCCGTATCCTGTGCCCCCAACCCCCCAGGTGTTGAGGAAACACACTGCGTCGGACAAACTTTGACGATTCGTTCGGTGAGACAAACTTAGTTCGCTAAATGATACATTTAGCCTACATACATACGGATACTGAAATTATTCTGAATACTACCACGCTACTGTTACTGACCCATAATCAGTCTTACCAATATATAAAAAGTAGAAGCAACGACAGCAACCATTGCAAATATGATTCCAACCATGTTGAATGTCACATCAAACATTGAATTAAGTACAATACCACACACCATGATGCCCTAAAATAAATGAATATATATATAGAAATGGATAAAATGCATTTAGGTATGTGAACTAAGTTTCAGGGAAGTGATGTATGCACGATTTTATTTTAAAGGAGATGTTAGAAATTGTGATGTTTTATCTGAAAACGACGTTGAATTATTGAGTGCTGGATTTAAATCAATTTCTGTTACTATTTCTACAATTGATAGAAATTCAACTATTACTCAGATGACACGCTAATGACTGACTACTTCAAATTAGGATAATATATGAAACTGTTATTTTGACGATGTTCCCCAATATCATAAACAAAGACCTCAAACAAGTAAAATACCTTGCTCGAAATTGACAAATATTTGAGCACATATTTAAATAACGAAACTTTGCCGTTAAAACCATTGAAATTCAGCTTGGTTTGATTTTATTCTATATACTGTATAAACATTAAAACGCAGACTTGGAGATTTTGATTACCAAAACGTATATGGTTGATATTTTATACTTCAAACGGAAATATTTAGTCGTGTGTGCTTATAAGAACTTTCATTTACGTAGTAGGGTATTTGATAAAACAAACGTTAATGAAATCGTATTGAAAAGGGCATAATATAAGAGGTCATCCGACTTACTAATATTGTATAAAGTCATAAAAGACTGGTTAATGACTTAGTGATTGATTTATAGTGGTTATGTCAATTAAATAACTCTGCAATCAATCAATGCAGAACTTTGCAAGTAATTAATAACTCACCAAAGTCATTTTAATATTTGCTGGATACGTTTTATTATACATAAACGTCTGTAGAACAATTAACATTGGATCTCCGAGACATTTCAAAATCTGGTATGTTCCAACGGAATTGTATTTCAATGAGAAATTTGTGAAAACAACCGAGCTACTGAAAGCAATGGATATGGGAAGTACTTTAATGAACTTGATATGCTTTATCTGAAAATACAGGGAAAATCGGTAAAAAAAATACAATTGAATAACAACAGTTAATTGAAGCAAACTGAAAGTAAACAAAATTTTGCAATATGTAAAAATGATTATTTGCAGCACAAGTATTATATTAAGTAAAAATGCGAGTCTCAATCTCAGAGTTTAACCGAGGCGGCTAAATTTGCATTCGTTTTCTGGTTTTTATCTCTCCTACAATAAAATTTTATTCCAACTTTTTCGGGCACAAGTCGTTAATGAAAATCGTTTCAGGGAGTATGACTGTTTAATATACTACAAATGATCCGCTTGTTATAGATTCTCAAGGTTGTAATCGAGAGAAAACCATGGGCACCAGCATTCTTTTAGCTAGTTTGAAAATGCATTTAGTCACAATTACGCAGTATCGATAAAAAAGATTATATTTATTGCATCTATTTGTAGTACAAATGCAAACATAGATTATGGGTTATGAGAAAATTTAGCTGAATTTTTTCGTCATTTAATTTCTTGGATTCTCGAAAATCATTGTTATAAGAAAAATCTAAGAAAACCACTACGGTTTTCTGATATTAGCTTCAGGCAATGCCACACGCAATCGATAGTAAAATGAATAGGCGCAATTATTATTATATAACTGCATTATATATCTATAAAAAAAAATTCAAATTTGCGATGTCGTCGTAGTCAGTAACGTATTTTGGTGCCACTATACTGGATGTATTCCAAATTGAAAGTGCTCAGCAAGCAGTCAAATAGCGGGGAATTCAACACAGCAGGGGGCGGGGAAGAACTTTAGGATAAACTTTCTTTGAGCACATCAGTCCCAAATCCTATCATTTCTAAGGGTATTGTCAGCAACTGTTAGTATTAAATATCATTGAATATTAACAATCATATCACTTGAGATATATGTTATATTAATAAATATGCATATTACCTAAACACCGATGAAATTAATTCAATGACGATTACTTACTTTAAATCCACCAAGTAACCAGAACGTCGTCAGTCCCGTGAAAGTAGCTGCGAAATGAGCACTGGCAAGTGATATTGGAGGAACATTGTAGTATTTGTATAGAAATTTATTTGTGAAAATAACTCCAATGCTGAAGATGAAATTTAGCACTAAGACGGCCACAACAAAAAGCATTTTATATTCGAATCACTAGAAAATGCAATTTCCTGCTTACCCTTAATTTTTGTGTTTATTATAATGTACCTGTCAAAAACGAAACCATCAAGTTTTTTTTTACATGAAAAGTCATGAAAAATGTCTCCCGGCATATTCAATTGGTTTTAGACATGAAATGACATTCATTATTATTCTCATAATGTTTAAATAATTCATCATGAAATATTATTGCACGACTTTTTTATCGCCTTTTTTACAAAGAGATAGAATGGATTGAATTCATACATTTTAATTCGTTGATAAATTTATAATTATTATAAATATAAATAAACATAATACTTTCTATTTTGAAGATAAACCTGAAATACACGAATTCAATAATTTGCTTGAATATTAGTACCGTGCATGATACTCTGGGAAGCTGATAATCGGATGGGAATTATATTGTCAACTTATATACCTTTGACAGAAATATCACCTTGTTTTTGTCACAACCAAAAAAAGACCTGCGGCATTGAAAGATATTGGATAAAACCTTCCCAGGAGATTGAAATACTGTACTCCCAAAGTATACTTGTATAGATAATCCTCACAATGCCTAAAAGATGCAACCTTGAAATAATCGAGCCTCAACTTATACTTTAGGCTTTTTTGCAGTTCCACTGCCTGATGTCTAAACATAAAAATACACAAGTACTTGTTTGTGAATTTCCCCTAAACTTCCATCTGCTTGTAAATTATGGGTATAACATATCGAGTATGTGACTGGTACGTACGAATGTGCGCCCATTACCAGTCTATCGGGTTTCATTGAGTAGCTCGACCACAGGTGCCCTGAGGGTGTTTTGAGTTGCTTTCTAATACAATCTATTGCATAATACTTGGTGTTAATGATCGAATGTGACGCCATAGTTTAATTACTATAATCTGTTAGAGTAATTTGGAATGAAACTATAATAAAACAGAAATATATTTTGTACAGGGTTTAATTATCGACGTAAATAATTTTGCTTATTTATTTAACGTTATTTTAAAATCCGAATTCTCAGAATTAACATTGATTGCTATTATTGCGAACTTTCTAAAATGCATCGACAATGTTTCTATTATGTTCTAAACATTGAATGACCATTGACATTGTAATAGTATATTCAACTAGCTTTTCGCCCTGCTATAGACATTCTAAATATTATGAAAAGTACAATAAGCGTATTATTTTCCTCACAGCCTGTTCAAAACATACAAATATACAACCTCTATTAGTAAATGCATTCTAATATACCTAGTCCATGCCTAACTGAATATTCTTCGAGAGTAATTTGCGTAGTATTTACATATGAACAACTATTAAATGACAACATTCTTAACACATTTTTGTGACAGTATATTCACAGGAAACGGGCAACATGTATCGCTAAAATATGTATAATACCGTGAGAATTTCTTATCAATAATTGCATATGACCTCTATATCGAGATAATATACTCGAGCGAAAACGTGATTCTGTTATACATTTTCTACGTGTTTGAAAATATCCCCCTAAATTGATGACGTCTGGCGCGACTGATGACTTCTCCTAGTTTTAGAACCGCTTTATATATAGTATTGTTCTTGTTACGACGCTTATATCTCATATGTGTTTCAGAAAAATATAAAAGCAATCCACAGTTATAGCTCTGGTGGGCCATGGAAGAAACAATTTTCAGATGTCAGTCGCGTAGAAAAAAACAGATCCGCGCGAAAATACACTGGCGGGTATTCCAACAATCCACTCGAATAATAACCTTAGTTAAGTTCAGTTTTTAAAGCCTGCCATTGTGATTATGTGTGTGATGGCGACGTCTATTTGGGCTTGATGGCTAAGAAAGCTGTTTTGTTTTTAAAGTTTTTTGAAGTTCATACGGAGCGTATTACGAAGTGAACATTCATGCCATTTCATTATTCATGTAGCTACCGTTGATGGATTGCGGCTGCGCGTTGGACCACATAACTGGTTAGCTATTGAAGGAAAAAGGAAAGTATAGCAATGTCATGAGTATTGTAGTAATATAAGAGTAGTTAGCTATTACAGTCCACAGTAGATCAATCTTCCCAAACAGCATTTTCTCCCCGCTTCGAACTGACAGAAATTGACCATATGTCGACGGACATATTCGAAATGCTTAACTTCATGCGCCACCAAACGAGCCATTCATTTGTTTTTCAGTGATTGATTGTGTTTTACAAAAAATTCCACAGTGAATAAAACGGCATCTAATGCTGATCTAATACTTGTACACAGAAGTGATTTCTTCACACCCTCCTATAGTGGGCGAGCAACACCTTTGGAATTTCAACCTGGGTTACGAATAGTTTCATCGCTAATGGAAAAATATGTAGCCTACTATACACCCTAAATCTAGAAACAGAAATTGAGAGACCATTGTAAATTTTCCTCCACAGTCCTGGCTTACCGCTTACGTGATCCAGGCGGCCTTGGGCTACCGTTGGATGATGGCAAATGTTCAAATTTGAGACGATCTTCAGACTCACTTGGGAGTTGGGACACTTCATATCAATTATGTTACGCTAGATATAAAGCAAAACACTGACTCAGGTGAATATCATTTATACGTATAAGTATATATGAGTATAAGTTTATTTCGACTCCATAATCAGCATAACAATACATTTGACAGATAAAAACAAATAAATAAAAACTGATTATGAAATCAGGGGAATAAATGAAACCTTAGATAAGGTTTATAACGTACAAAATATAAGATGGAAGGTTTTGCCAAGAGGAAGTGGTACGTGTTTACTCACCTAAAATTATTAAGTTAATTCACACACACACACACATACGCAACCACTGAGAAGTTATTTAAGTAAGAATAAAACGCGATAAATTTAGGGTATTATTATTATATTATTATTTTAATGGTGCTTATAACTGGCTTAGTTTTGTGCACCAGGACTGTGATATTAAACGTTTGGTGCTCAAATGCTTCGACCCGTTACGAGGACGTATTCTATAACAAATGATATAATTCTGGGATTTGTTAGCAAATTGATAATATTCACGGGGCCTATATTCAGTTCTTTGCAATGATTAAGTAAAATTGATCTTGGGAAGTTATAACGGGGACAATTTAATATTAAATGTTCGACGGTTTCGTTTTCCGTGCAGGTGTCGCAAAATCCATTTTCGTGGAGTCCAATTTTATGAAGATGAAAGTTCAGACGACAGTGGCCTGTTTGTAGTCTGAACAATAGTATTTCATATCTTCTAGATAATTGCAGGAATTATGTACTTTAATCGATGGGAAGAATAATTTGAAATGTTGAGCTTTTTCTAGTGTGATATAATAGTTATTCCATTCCATTTCGCACTTCGCATTAATAATTGACTTTGCTTCGTTTTCGAGAAATTGATGACAGACGTTAAAGTACTTTCGTCCATTGTTGCTTCTTTTGCTAGTTTGTCTGCTCTTTCGTTGCCAGCAATTCCAACAATGTCCTGGGATCCACACGAAATCTACGAAAATATTTTGGCTCCTGAGGGAAGATAGAATAGTTTTAATTTTAAAAAACAACATATGATTAACAAAGTAAATTTTACTTAATCCTTGTAAAAGGCTCAGACAATCGGTCAAAATTAAAACACGTGACGGCCGATGCAAAGTTATCCAAAGCAATGCTCTGTACACGGCCTAAAGTTCAGTTGTAAACGAACTCAATTTTTTGTCAAGTGTAAAAGATTTGAAGACGTCATACTTTAAAATACAAAAAGATGAACCACATCCTGTATCCGTCTTTGATCCGTCCGTATAAATTAACAAGTATTGACTGTAATTCTTAGTAATATATTCATCACATATTAGTTTACATATAGGTAACGGATCTGTTTTCGAAATAATATTCGCGAGCGACACATCAATATTTGGTAGTTCCATTTCCCAAGGAGGTGACTGAAGAGGGGGTACACGATTAACCGAAATTTGCTTGAAGACATCCGATGTGGTTAGCATGTTGAAGGTTTGAAACAAGGGTGACTTCGGGTAAAGCTCGTGCCATGTTTGTTCTATTATGTTGGTATTCGGATATTGCGTAATCGATAAAATTTTGCTCTTATATATATCTCATGCAAGCCTGTCGGTGACGAAATTCAATCGGAATCTCTCTACAGGTAACATTTAGGCAGCAGATCGGGGTGCTGGGCAAAGCGCCACAGCAAACACGAAGAGATTTATTTTTGTAACAGCGATTTTTCCTAATTACATACTTTGGTGGCAAAATAATAAGCTTCTATTCCGTATTCAATATTGACCGTATTAATACCCTGTATTATTTAAGCAGAGTTTCTCGGGAAGCTCCCCATGTTGTGCCTGTCAAAAGTCTCAACAGATTTAATCTTTTATCACATTTGTGTGTTACATGTTCTACATGAGCTTTATACTTCAATTTGTTGTCGAATATAACGCCAAGGTATTTATACTCAGATTTAACCGGCAACTCCTGTCCATCAATGTAGAGATGCAATGGTGGAGGTTTACGTGATCTTGAAAACAATACAGCACACGATTTTGTCATTGAGATGTTAAATCCCCACGCTTGACACCACGAACTGATTTGATTTAATGTCATTTGCATATCCGAAATAAGTTCGTTGATTTTTAAACCAATCTCCCATGCGGCGCAATCATCAGCGAATGTTCTGGATGTCGAGGATATATTTTTTGGAAGATCATTTATCATAATTGTAAAAAGCAAAGGACTTATTACGCTACCTTGAACAATCCCATTTTCCGATTTAAAACTGTTAGAATAAGTAGAACCAACCCGTACCTGGAAAGACCGGTTAGATAAAAATGATTTAATCCACGATAAGATTCGACCCTTTATACCAATGTTATGAAGCTTATAAATTAGTCCTTCACGCCAAACCATATCGTATGCTTTTTCAATATCAATGAAAACTGCAATAACGTGACGCTTGCTTGAAAGAGCCTTGTATATATCATCGTGCAGACTAATAATATTGTCCAATGTTGATCTATTCGACCTGAAACCAGATTGTGTTTCGTGAATCAAATTAAACCTGTCAAGAAACCATTTCAATCTGTTGGCCACCATTCGTTCATGACTTTGCAAAGATTACTCGTAAGAGATATCGGGCGATAAGATGACGGCGAGTTGTCTTTCTTCCCTGATTTGAGTATCGGTACCACAATCGAATGCTGCCACGCTCTCGGTACACGCCCTTCGGACCACGATCGGTTAAAAAGCTGTAACAAGGTGGGGAGTATTTCTTGTGGTAAATTGCTTATCATAGGATAACCTATTTGATCCTGGCCGGGCGCTGTACTTTTACGCGATTGTAGCACATTTTTTAATTCGTGCATAGTAAACGGAACATTCAATGAGTGCTTATAGTCGAGGTTCAATTTGATTACTTGATATATACCAATCTCAAAGTTTCGTTTCCTATCCAAAAACTGATTTTTATAATTTGCAGTACTGCTCACGGTTTGAAATGTAGACCCCAGTAGATTTGCCTTATTATAATCACTTGTGACAGAAGCACCATTTGGATCCGTAAGCGTAGGAATATTGTAATTTCTTGGCGAGTTCGTAAACGCGTGTACCATTTTCCAAACTTTCGAAAATTGGGTTGGCGAGTTAATCGAGTCGCAGAATTCTTGCCAACAGTTTCGTTTTGCTGCTAGTATTATCTTCCGAGCACTAGCTCTCATCTTTTTGAAGTATATAATATCTATTTCGTGA